AATCTATTTTAAATTAAAAACATAATTTTATTTATTTTTTTTATAAATATTTGATCACAATTCATATTTCTATAAATTTTAAAATATAATTTTTATTTAATTTTTGAAGAAAAAATCTACTTGCATTTTTTACTATGTAGAAATAAATTTTAATTTTTAATTTCTTAATTTTATTTGGTAAGTATTGATAGAATTATATCTTTAATTCTTATCTAATATATTTTAATTTTTTTAGAAAATTGCAACATGTTTCTATCTCATAATAATTTTATTAGTTATAATTATATTTATAACTTATAAAAAACAAACATAACATTTTAATAGATAAAAAATATAGAAATAAATAACTTAATTTTAAACATTAAAAACAAAAAATAATATCAAAATATTTTTTAAATATAAAATAATTAAAAATAACTATAATAATATTATATATTACATAGATTTTTTAGTTTTTTTATTTTATGCTCTTTATAATAAGATTATTATAAGATTTAGACATTACTTTGAGATCTTACATGGTTTCTTAGTTCTATGTTTTTAATTATTGACAAAAGATGTCTACTACAATAATCTAAGAAATAAAAACTCTATAACATATAATTTACCTTATAATTTATTTTAAGAATTTAATGGTATATTTTTTGATAAGTTTTTAACTATATATATATATATATATATATATATATATATATATATATATATATATATATATATATATATATATGTCAAAAAAAATAATATAGAAAATAAAAAATTCTTTCTAAGAAGACTCAACAAAAATTAAGAACATTGAAGATTGCAATGGTTATTACTACATAAACTTTTTTTTATTAAAAAAATTAAATATTTAAAATTAAAGCTTCAATTACAGTCTTTAATCCATTCTAAAATTATATTATTATATAAAATTAAAATGGAACATAAAATAAAATAAAAGATTGAAGATTTTTATTTTGAAAATAGATATAAAGTTCTATTTTTTTAGAAATTAATACACATTTTATTTAATATTAAAACATAATAAAAAAATAAATTTTATATTTTAAAATTTTAATAAATCACCTATCAATTATAATTTCTAAAAAAAGCTATTTTTCACGTGTTTGAATTAGACAAAATACAAAACATTCATAAGCAATATCAATCATAATTCTTAAATTACAAAAAAATTAAAGTATCTTTTAACTTAGAAGTGAATGTGAGAAACCACAACTTTTTAAGTTTGTGATTGTTGGAATTGAGAAACTTTTCACTGTTGGCTTTTTATTTAGAAAAAGCAAGAAAAAGACCATAAGAGGATATGATGAGATATAAAGTACTTTTTTTCGTGCATGAATAGTATGGTTGTAGGAATTTGTGTTTGGCCCACCCTCAAGACATAACATTTACAAAAACTAAAGAAGTTTTGTTGATGTTTGTTAAGAATTTGTTAAAAACTATGCAAAGGTTATATTTTCTGAAGCTTGTTGCCTCTATTAAATTCAAGACCCAAGTTATCAAATTTAGAATCTTGTTAAACAAACTTGAAATCATTATCTCCGAAGCACAAATGCAGATTTCTGGGGACAAATTCTCTGATCAGAGTCCACATTTCCATTTACAGTTCAAATTCGGATTTACTTTTATTCCACATCGCATCGTCCTGCTCTGCACAAACGCTGCCTTTTATTCCCACATCGCTCATATCACATGTTCAGATTAGTTCCGTGTACACGGTAGCATACCGTGACATGGTTACCAGCACAAACCTCGCTGTACGGTGCAGAAATCTAAAGCTTAACATCATCTAGTGTAAACATAGTACAGCATATTCAGTTGCAGCATGTGGGAGATGTACAACGGAAGGAGAAAGTGCTGGAAGCACACACTTGTCCGAACCTTTTGCACTCCTATATATACTTTCGGCATGCAGATGGTGTGTGCAGCTCTATCTGCGAGACGTTGAAAATTGCTACCCAGTCCATTTCTGCAGCAGTGCATTTGCTAGTTTCGAGGTTGAGTGTTACAATCGAACTCAACCTCGAAACGTTGCCACAATAGTATCAGGGCACCTCTGTCCTCAATAGTATCAGGGCCAACGCGGCTGGGAAAAGTAGACATGTGATTGACCGAGATTTACATCAAGAGCGTCACTTTTGGTGAATGGATCTGTGTTGGGAGCTTTTTACGCACGAACGGGGAGGTTGGAAGAGTGTATCGAATAGAGTAAGAATACTAGCTGTGAAACGCACGGCAACAGCATTGGAACTCGCACCGGCAGACTCTTGGACCGGGTAGAAAGCTGACCAGGGCTCAGGCACACTTACAGCATGTGTTATTTTTCCCAAGGGATTGAGAGACATGCATCACGAAAATTTCACAACAATGGAATGGTCTTCAGTATGACCAGCCGTGTCCTCAGTGTCGTTGCAAAACACACAAGTGGTGGTAAACAGTGCGGACACGAATTCGAAGTACCTCACGGCGATGACCGGGACTAGGTGACTAGGAAGACTAAGAACCGTTATAGAATCAATTCAGGTATGGCTGCTTAGTAACGCAATGAGACCACAGGCCGAGGTTATTCAACGAAGAGGTGCCTTCAATTGACAATTGTGTTGGGTGCACAAACTGCACATCAATGCTCTGCAAGAAAGCAATAAAAACGTACAGATCGAATAGATCGGAATTACGTAAGTCATGTACACGCCTACGAGCCTATATTACACTGCATGCGACAACTACCGAAGGCAAGAGGGATGTGTTGAAGACAGCCCCGAGATGACCTAGGCTCCCGTAAGAAGCAAATCATGGAGCAGTCATTCCTGGAGACAAAGCCGCGCAAGCTTGGTCTTCACCTCCGTGAAATCGTGAAGTTAATGAATGCTAAAGAATGAGCAAAACAGATCAAGGGAGTACTCTGCGAAACCTCTTCATTTTACCGATGACGATCGCGGCGTGCTCGGAGGGCCACCCTCCAAGTCCGAATACACCTCCGATGCCTGGAAATACTTGGGCGCAACGTACACCAGAATCGAGGAGCCAGCCATCTTCGCGGCATGGCTTGTGCTCCACAAAACCTTCTGGCCAAAGTGCACGGTTGTGGTAGCAGCCTTGCACACCTTCTCAACGTATCCCGAGCCCGCGGAGAAGCTGAAGTTCATCCCTCTAATCCATCTCTTCTCACTCGCCCCGCAGTCCGCCGCAATGGCTGCCATTGCGACGCAGTGCTCTCCACAACCTCAAAACGCCGCGACGTCCGTCCTCCCGTTGCTCGCTCCCCAGTTGTTCTCGCTCGATTCAGCACTCTGAGCGCCCGTCAGCTCGTTCGATTCAGCGAAACACAGGCCAGGCGCTAATTGCGAGCGCAGGTGCTCAACGAACACCCTCAGACGTGAGAGACAGCGAGTGCCAGCGGATTTCCATGGACAGTCCGGCTGGTCCCACAATAAGAGAGCCCAGCTGGGCCCGAGCGAGCAGTCACAGAGGTTCCCCACATGTTCCCGCTTTCAGTTCGCTTGCAGTGTGCAAGTTTTTTGCGATTTGTCTATATTTGCCCTCGATCTATAATTCCGCGCCGTATCGTCTGGCTGCCAGCGAACCCCAGTATTAATTTGGTTCACTATTTTTTCTTTTCCCCCACTTCTTGTGCACATTTATCGGAAGAGCTTGCTCTGCCAATCATTCACGCTTCGAAAAGAATTCCCCGGTTCCTGCAACTACATTTCGAAACTGAATTCTTACTTAAGTCGGTTTTCTCTTTAACGACATAAGTTGTGCCGTAAAAAGAAGCGACCGGAAAAAAAGTAATCAATAATTAAACAACTGGGAGGCCATTTCAATGACGATCTACTGTGGTAGAGAAAGGGATAAAACGGAACATACTTCACACATTTTCCGCGAGTAATAGGTGAAAGGTGGAAGGCCGAGCTCCAGGAGTGAGGTTCCGGACCCACTTACATCTCTACCATGCATTGTTACTCTTGAGTTTTTGCAGCTTCGGATATGGTCTTCGGATATGAAGACAAGTTTTAGAGGAATAAAGCTTTCTTCCGCTGCCATTAAAATATGCTCCGTGGATTCCAAAACGATACGTTGTTTACTGTGACTTGTTCTCCTTGCTGTGGCCTGTAACTCAGCCCATACGCTTTGTATAATTGCTTTGAACAAGTCAGTTACTTCTTGTGGCAGAAAGGAGATTAAAGAGGAATGAAGAATAAACTCGTTCAAGACCATTGAGTAAAAGAAAAATATTCGCATGCAAGTTTGTTACTGCCTGGCAGCATATTAAAAGTCTCCGTGAAAGCAGATCATAATTGGTGCGCTTCCTGTGGAAATAATAGTGCGCAGGCTTTATTTTTTAATCCCCTTTGTCAAGTTAAATTCTAAAGAGGGATTCCAAAGGAGAACTGATTTGTCTGTGGGGCTAAATTTTGTCTCTCTCTAGCAAAGATGGAAAAACGCAAAGGTGAAAGCAAGGTTGTCAGGTTTAAACGTCTTTAATAATTCCATAAATGTGATTGTTCGGTTTTTTATTCTCGGAAATGGAAAATATAGATGGCCAACTGTACCGGTTGTACCTAGTTGGTATGAGATTCATGCCCTGTGGGAAGTTTACAGTGTGTGGAGAGCTAGGTGTTTCGCAGGATTGTAACACTAACCTGGTCTCTAAGGGAGGTGGACGCATGTTTAGCTTATTTGTAAGGGGCTGCGCTTTACAAAGCCCAACTACTACATAGAATATTTTTGCAAGTAAAGTTGGACAATTAAAGTGCCATGTATCTTTCCTCTGTCTTTTTTTCTTTTCAGGTAAAAATAGTAACCATCGCAAAATCCCATGACCTATGTTTGTTAGACATTGTGACAGATGGTTTAAATTGATTAGTGGTGTGATACGGCGTTTCTTTCAATATTCCCAAGTTCCAATGAGGTTTATATACTGCATAAAAAAATACGCTTGATCTCTCTTGTAGATGGGCACATGGACAAGTCACGCCCTTCGGCTAAGGACGTACAAATAGAAAATAAAAGTACCTTTGAGTACTATACAGCACTACCATCATAAATATGGTAATGCGTGAAAATTATTGCCTACTCAACAAAGTAGACTTTTATAAATACATCATAATCTGAATCCGAATATATGTAAGCTTGGGCTCCTTACAACTTCGATTCAGGAGGCCCGTGAATTCTAATCTTATGCCAGGAAGTGTTCAGGACGCCCCTCAAATTCCAAATCTCATCAACGTCCGCAGGCTGAACATTAGCAGCAGTGTCCACCTGCATAGCCATAAGTACATCAGGAAGGAGGCAGACCATTTGACACTAAAAATCTCAAACCTAATGTTCTCTCAAAATAGGAGATATGTTCAAATTAATAGACCTGAAATAACACCTGTTTTATCAACCAAGAAGCAATAACAAATTGGCTTGGCAGGTTTGCGAACGAGAGGCCAGATATTTTTCACAACCACTAATTCCAACAGGAAATGAACGGCTGTGCAGAACATTCCAACAGCGTGAGAATTTGCAACAGATTCGTCAGGTGATGAGCCACATACCGCTTTCACAATCACAGTGCATGGAGTCTCAACTTTGACAGATTTGAGTTCCCACAGTGTCCAAGCCCAGTCGGGACGATGAGAATCATAAGCATTGGTTTGTAGCTTGGGTAGCCGATGTGCTTCCAACCAAGTCTTCCCATTATCCACTGAAATATCTACCCGCTCAATACCGCGTCCACCCCCGGCCACAGCATAACCATAAAAGTCAACCTGTAAACAACATTTGCAACCGAGATTATTTTTAATTTAAGAATTAAGAGTTTCTTGGATCCCTAAAACCCCTCCCTCAAATCTACCGTCAGCATGAGCAGCTCCACATTTAAGGAAGCAAACTAATAGTCACTCAAGCAAAGGCATCCACGCAAGTCCAGTCTTAACCAGTTCTAACAAGTTGATCAAAATAATTTAACCAAAAACATAAAATTTCCACGTAGCAGCTCCTTGCAAAAAGTTGAGTTCTCGTCACTCACCAAGTCCCCACTCTTCACCACAGCACCATCTTGTGGCTCACAAATGACACTCTACACACGACTCAACACGAAGCAGGTGTTTAGTAACTGTACTGTGTCACTGTAAAACATGAAGTCGGTTGAAACATCAGAGCCGCTAATTGTGAAGATGCCGATTTCTACATAATTAACAAACGCATGGCTTGCTTCAGCAGTCAGACAAGAACATGTACTTGAACAGGAAAGTCCATCAATGGGCGTCTCGACTGCCAGTCAATATTATCCCAATCAACCCGCGGAGGAAACATCTTGTAATCTTTCTGCTGAAAAAATCCCTGTTTGAGAACAAACCAACTCACCAACTTCAAGACTTTTACAATTAAAACATAACTCCTTACTCATAACACCAATTATCAAACTGCGAAACGAATGTTTTAATTACTCTTTCGTGACCCAAGTACAATTCCCTACCACATCAACAACATTCATTTACTTTGGGTTCACATACCTGGCACTCGGTTTTGGAGACAACAATACTCTCAATCCATTTTACAGAGCGAGCTCCAATAACCCCTGGTACTACAATCCGCAGTGGATATCCATGGTCTCGATTGAGCACCTACAAGCATGCAACGACAGACCATGATGAAGGGCATTTTCCCAGGTGCAAACAAGGACAACGATTGACAAGGACTTGATAAGAACCGATTATATCAAGAGCTATTAGGCGAATATAGGCTAATGTAAAATGCATGTACTCACACCTTTCCATTCATCTCATACGCCAATAAAACATCTGCCTCTGGAGTCGTTGCATGCAGTAAGGGTATTGAAGCCTTATAAGGTCCTCCATTTTCCTCCTGCAGAAGAGAAAAAGGTTATCAACACTCTTAAGCTCATGCAAGCCAATACCTTTGCACCCTCCATTCGCTGCAATTGCCCTTAAAATCCAAAGGAAAATTCACACACGGCATTGTTGGTTCGACTCCGGACTCGCATAAATAGAAGAGAAACTATGGACCTCTAAAAGTTTAGACATTAAATTCCCAAGTTTGATCATCTTAATCGAGGAGCTGTATGTCTATCATTCGATGCGTTTCTGGTTTCAAGTCTCTGGCTGCTCAGTAGTGCTTGGCAGGGAAAACAAATAAAAACGTAGAAACAAGAACCTACATTGATGATGAAAGATTTTCAAAACGAATAGGATCACTGAGATCGAAAATTCTCTGTTTACCTTACAAAAGTCACAGCTCACAATTTCGACATGCCTGCCTCCTTGGTTTGTGGCAGTTGAGTAGTACATTACACCCGCGTGTTTAAGCACGTCTGAAAGTTTCGCTCCTCCCCATGCAGCTGGCCACAACAAAGGGAAAGAAAACTTTCATCAAAGGCGTCATGAAAGATTGCATAGACTGTGAAAAAGCCAAAATAGAAAAGGTGCAACTAACATCGTACTTATAATAAGGTGTGTATAACAAACACTACATCTCCATATCAGCAAAGATAAAGACCTCGCTACAAATACAGCCTAGATAATTGTTTAATGCAGCCGGTAATATACCAGTTCCAATAGCTGCAGCTCCCCAACCAACACCCCTCACTTTCCGCCTCATGCTCATCTCTGTCCTCCGATTTCCAGCGCACTGTATACGTCACATAAATCATTACTCAAAATTCATCAAGTCATCAAAGCTTCAAGCAACCTATCGTATCTAATAAACCAAATATTCGAGCAGAGACTTTTGTCAACATCCACAAGTTGCTATGAACGTCAAGGACCCTTTCATTATACTAGTAAAAAAATAAATTCGTAAAAGTTGATGTGCGCGAAGGCAAAATAGAAAACACACGTTAAAAAAACTTCGAAAATCTTACTTGCAGTGTTGCGACAGCAGTATACTTTGGGAGCGATCTGTACAGAGTCACAAAAAGTTATTATGACAGAAGTTGCAAACAACTTGAGTAATGCATGACAAAATGCAGGATAGCTCCAGAGACGCCTCCCTTGCAAACCATAGATTCAATATTAAACTTTGACACTCATCGAAGTAGAAAAGACCACCCACTTATGCAGGCAGAATACACTTACTTTATAAAATCGAGTGAGAGTGAGACAGGATTTGGCACATCCCCTGTTACAACCAATTTGTACCTGCAAAATAATAAAAATAAAAATAAAGATAAATCTGATGTTCTTAACTTGACTTTAACAATATTGGAAAAGAATGACAGCATGTTTTACTTACGCAAGGGTTCTAGGCGACGAACATTTTGAATGAAATGTACTACTCACGTTACTACGCATCAGGATCATCTACTACAGAACACAACTTAAGAAGAAAAACAGTGCAAGAGATAAGGAAGTCATACGTCGTAGGGTCGCGCAAAATGGGAATGGGCCCGTGATTTCGCTTGTAAAAATTATCCTCGCTTGTCAAGTAGGAAGACCCGAGAATCGACACAGGGGGCTCTGCATTGAAAGGTTCCTGAAACAAGCAAACATAGAGAGCACAAAATGAGACAATACAAAATCTCCAGACTAAACTTATAGACCATTAAATATTTTCTTTGGATGTGAAGCAATTCATTGGAGCACAAAAATCCCAGTCTCAAAAACCCTCAAATTCCAAGACTTCGGAAATTCAATTTACATAACTTCCTTACTCAATAGAAAATGTAGCCGTCAGAGAATCGCTCGAAGCAAGAACTACAAACCAAAATGCGAGAGACTCCGTAAAAGGCAAAAACCCCATCCTGTAAGCTACAAAATTCGAACATTCTAACGAATACAACACGACTGGACACACAGAGCAAGTCCTAGATCACCGTCGCCCACGAATGCTGAATTCGGCAAAGTGAAGTGGCGAATAGGAAACAAGCATAGCGCAAAGGGTTTCGTCACATTCACAACAGAATGCAAGAGTTCAAAAACCCAAGATTAAACCACGCACGAAGAGGTTTCCAGCTCGAAAAAGAAAAAAAACAAAATTGAGACCCGCTCTCTAATTCCGCAACCCACTCAACGTCGATTCCAATCATGCAATTCAAAACAGCGCATCTAACCACACCATAGCTCTCACCTTCGAATTGATGATCAATGTCTTGTTGCGACTCGGCTCTTGGTCATACCCACGCAGACCGTGCAATCGGAGCTCCTCAGGACCAGGATCCATGGCGTCGAGGCACAGAAACGTTGCTCACGAGAGCGGGCAAGCCGTATGACACACACAGTCACACACAGTCACACAAGGAGAAGAGACAAAATTCGTGGACACCGAGCGATCTGTAGCTCGGGGCTACGCCATAACCATCAGCTTCTATTCCTACTCACACTCCTCCTTCTTAATTTAAGTTTTCCTCCACATATTTCTGCTTGCCGCGAAGCTTCCGATGCGGCCCCCCGAATGTGCTGAGCTGTCATCCACCGTAAAATTAGTATATAAATTACTAAAGTTAACCCGCTTAAGTCACCCTTCGGATGAAAAAATGCTGCTGTAGGGAAGGAGTCTATTCCACTAGACGGAAAATTGGTGGTTTCTTTTTTGGTATTAGTGTTATCACGAAATTGTATTGTGGAACTTCAAAGTATGTACGTGTACAAGATGTTAGATACTTGAAGCATATTCCAAGGGTGTAGATGGATGATCATAATATTATATTAGCCTATTGCTATTGCCACCACAATTGCTATTGTTATTACCACCACAATTACTATATTTATATACATATAATCAAAAGATTGGATCATCTAATTAAATTATATATTAGAAGATTAAAAATTACAATATATATCTTATTTATTTATTTATTTATTTATTTATATATTTATGTGTGTGTAGGGTACTAATACTATTATCATAATTTTTGCTATTGCCACCACAATTGGTCATCCACCCAACATAGTATTTTAGTTTTTTTTGTTCTAATAAAAAATTATATTCAATTGAAAGGTTTGAAGGATGTTGAACAAAGGTGGCATGTGTAAGATGGGAGGTTGTGGTAGTAATAGCAAAAATTATGGTGATATTGACATATATATATATATATATATTATTTTAACAATGTAGTAGTGATGAACCTTGAGTATGTTTCTATTAAGCATGGTTGGAAATTTATCATCCAGATTTAAATTACCATTTTTATTGGAACACTTTTAGAATTCTCATGTCTAAATTCTTATCATGAAATATTTTAGGGTCATTTTCAACCATAAAAAGTGTATATTGGAGTGAAGTATGTCTAAATCCTAAAGATTTTTGTTTATAATTTTAAAATATCAATTTTAGGTATTATTTCAAATTTTCGTTTATTTTTTCATTTAAGATAATTGAGCTATACATTTTTTATCTTGTAAAAATATAATACTAGATGTCTTTAAGACATATATACATATTATTTTAATAACTATTTTTATCTTAAATTATATATATATATATATATTATCATTTTTATTTAATACTACAATTATATGTATATATATATATATATATATGATAAATCTACCCAATTTTTTACTAAATTAATCTACATGTTTAAATCATCATTGTACTCTTTCAATCTTGTTCCTATTTCCAATTGTTTCCTTGTTCCCAACCATCACCTTCATTTCAAATGTTCCTAGCACCCACCCCCATCCATAACAATGGAGAGCATTTAGAAACAAGGATAGGGGTTGTAAAGATACAATGATGGTTAAGATAGAATGAATCACTTTAATAAAGATGGTTAGGCTTGCTTTATCATTATTCTCTCTCTCTCTCTCTCAATCCATCTATCTATCTATATTTATATATAATATGTTTCTAATATTTTAATTTACTATGAGAGTTGCAAAATATTTTTAAAGTTGCACTATTCTTACAATAGTTTTGTAATTATTGTTTTATTACAATCTTTAAAATAAAAATAATGATAAACTTTAAATTCCAATAAATTATGTTTATTGTGCTTCTATTTTTTAAAGTTTAAATATTTTATTTTTTTACAATGCAATAGAAATTCTTCAATTATAGGTCAATCAATTATATGCTAGTGCAAACTTAACAAATCATTTTTTCTTCCATCTTGTAAATTACTTGTCTCTAGTAATAATACATTTAACAACAGATAATATTTATAATATCTATTGAAGAATTGTTGTTTGGAATTTAAAATTACTGATTTTATTTTTATTTTTATTTTTTTAAATTATTCTCCAAACTCATCACTTTATTTCAATTACATACTCTAACTTCTAAACAATATACTAATTTTGTCATAAATATAAATAATCAAGATAAGAATTAAATAGTATTGATATATATTTTGTTAATACTAAAACAAATTAAATTAACATAAAAACATTTTTTTATATATAAAAAAATAAACATGAATACATATATATACACACAACTTCATTGCCATTAGAAAATATATTATTACATTTTACATATTAGGGGCAAAATTATTGTATATACTACAATAGACAAGTTTGGCAATAAACAGCCAAGTAAAACAATTGCCTTATGAACCAGTTACTAGAAACATGGGATCAAGCTAAAAGTAGAATACAAATACCAAATGGCATAATACTAAGCCATGTTATAAAATGTTTTATTGTTCATAAACTATTTGCAACAATTAAGTAGAGCCAAGAACCACATGTTTTTTTAACAATAAAACAAAATAAATGATTGCATTTGCATAGTATGAAAAAATACTCTATTAGATTTTGGTCTAACTATACCAAACATGCAATAAAAATTTGATGTGTGTTTTCTGTTGGACAGCCATGAAAACCAACGATTGGTTTATTAAAATGTTTGATTGGAAGTATTGCTACCGCAGGATTCAGTCTTTGAAGAGCACGCAAGGTCTAGAAAAGTGAGAAGGGCCACTTCTATGTGTTGAATGACGAAGCAACTGAGCTGTGCAAAGCAAAACAGAGGGTTATTGTGCAAAATACATGTATAAACAACGTAAAACAAAATGTATAACACTTAAAACTTACGCAAATTCGAAGGAAAAGGTTAGAATTGTTTATTTGAAGCTGTATGATACATTCTAAATGAATCATTTGCTTGTGAGGTCTTAAATTCAGACGCTTCATTACAATCTACTATGTAGAGAAAGCCAGACTACTGTGTTTGTAAGTGGTATCTGTTACTATTGAGCCTTGGAGTTGTGTCGCGCGTAGTCATAATTTACACACACATCTGCTGCTGTTTTCATCTGCAACCAAACAACAGAGTTTAGAGAGCAAAAATACTGCGTATAAATCAGGTAGATGGTTGCGCTCCAAGACAGTACGTAAGACTTCATTGAGTATCATCTACATTGTGAATAATATGTCAGACTAAAGTTTTTCAACTTCAAGCTCGTTCCAGCAGAGGCAGCAGTGTCGATGTTGGATATTTCTTCGCATAACAAATTGGAAAATATAACCACTCTATCCAATAATTGTACAAATGTGAATTTGATTCACCTCACGCTATCATCAGTTATGTGAGAAATTGGTTGTACCTGAACAAGATTCACAAGTTGTTTGATTGCACAACCTGGTAATGCAATTGCCAGTAAAATACCATAAACAGTTCCGTTTCCGATAGAACGGCAGGTGACCTGCAACACAAGCGACGAGTGTTACATGCATCAGTTAAATAGCTCCTCATCTATATGATCCCTCTAGCATTCCAGGATAAAAAGAAGAACACTACCACTTACAAAATAATAAACCAGAGATAACAGAAAAAAAAAAAAACACCCCAACCTCGTAAGGGCTTCCGATGTTTCCCTCAGCGGCAAGCATGTACAGAAGTATATAAGCAACCTGCTCAGCAAACAAAGAAATTTTCTTTGGTAAGTCCTGTTTCATGTCGATCTGACAAGAGCACGCAGCCGTATTAAAAAAATGAGTGCAAATGGCTCATAAGATCAGAGATTTGAATGCGAGGTTGAGCCTAACTGATGCCATTATTCACTTCATACCTCTGCCCCGATCGCACAGTATCCCATGAAGAAGCGATGCTGATAGTACAGACGGAGCAAAGTGCTCTTGCTGTCACCCATGTCCTTATGACTTGCCTTGCTCGACAAGAAGGTACTGCGAGGATCAAGACAGAAAGAAACAAACTCTTTTATCACAAACCTAACACTCTTATCCTGGCTAGAATGTGCATGTACAGCTTAGTTGGAAAGACAAATCTATAAAAATCAAATACCTGTACATTTGAAGCCAATGGCTGGAAATGTCAAGAGCAAGAAGCCCGAGAAACAGTCCATAGTGAGACCTACTCAATCATTGAAACAGGACAACAAAGAGTCAGCATGCAACATGTAAAAAAATTAGGCCACGTTATCTTCCGCAGAATTTAGAAGATAATTGTCGCTAACAAACAAGTGCACCTCTGACATACAGTGTTCATAATGCAGGAACCAATTTCATTCACTCAGACGTTAGAGGTGAAATAATAAAACAAGACGTCTGTGAAGTGGGACCCCATCGCTCAAGTGACTTCTATGGTAATATGGTGCAATTCAAATCAAGAACTATCAGTCCCTCAGAAAGGAGGTCAAAGCTCTGACGAAAGCACTACAACTGGCAGCAGTCAACGCTAACATGCTTGAATAGGCCAGCTGTGCAATTCGCATGTGAACCAAACTTACTTGTAAAAGTGCGTGAGAAGTACCAAGAGTGCAGCAGTGCTAACCCTACACAAATGGCAAAACAGGATCAAGAAAGTCAGAATTTTAATGTTTGACTTTTTATTAATATTTTTAATATCTCACGATTAGTACAGCACATACCCAAGCCGAACCACACAGATGGATAACCCACTTGAGAGACCCAATAGCAATCACCATTGAATATAGTCAATCCAAGAGAAATGGTCGTCACCTGTCAGTCACCATGTCTAAAACAGCTCCAAAGGTTGACTCTGTTCAAAGGCAAGCAACACACGAGTATCGGAAGCATGAGCAATAATGTGAATACATTCCTACCACTTTCACCCAACAGGTATCACCTCTTTCACCTTAGAGAAGAATTGAAACAGAGATGCTTAGGAGATATAACTACAGGTATTTCTAGAAACATGCCTTGTTAGAGCAGATTACTGTAGCCAACAACAGCAATATTTTGCAAAGCGCATTGAAAACTATTGACTCAGAATCAGCCAAACCAACTCCTCAGTAGCAGAAGAAAGAAGCGATGACATGATCACATTATTAGTCTAAGAAGTACATACTCTGGTTGAACATGCGAGCAAAGCGGCCATCAAGTTCATCGCATACAAAGCTGTGGAGAAAAGTCGACAGATCAAGCGCAATTAGGAATCGGAAATATATACGTGTTTCAGCAGGTACTAAAATGTTCGAACTATTAGCTACATACACAAGCTAAAAATCGGCGTCTCATATCACGGACATAAACAGAGGTATTTAACATTAAATTTTAACGTACTATTATAGCCTTAATGAGTCGTCCTTCCACATGAGGGCAATACTCTAAAATTCGAAATGAAGCTATTACGATGCAATTATCTCAAGTAGCTGCGATAACACAGTTGTGTATTTCTTAGGAAAAAGTTGCTAACAAAGAGACTATCTAGAACTGAATTCGTGGGAAAGGAATTTGGGATTGACTGTACCTTGCAAAGTAGAGAATAGCAAACAATTCTTTGTTGGTGAAAGCCACTCCGAAAGCTGCGCCATTGGCGATAATCCTCGCATATCCTGTTACAAGTCTCCCTTTTTCACCAAATTAACCTCAAGCAATGGCTGATGTTCAAATTCGCAAAAAATGAAAAAAAAAGAGAAAAAGAAAAGATATCTTAAGGATCCTCAGGAGATGTTTAGAACTACTTACCGATGAGATTAGGAATGTAAAGATAAATGGGCCAATTACTTTGTTTTGGTGAATCCTCGACAGCTGAGTCTTCCATTGAGCAATACGACTTTCGCACAATAAAATTATACGCACTGAAACCTGCTTATGTCTCCGACAACCCTTAGACTGAGGTTTCCTTCGAACTGCTGTGTCTGTACGAACATCTCCGAGGACATATTTATAATAAGCAACATGGAATCAATCACTGTGCTACAATTATTCAATATAAATGTACTATAAGTACAACTAACACATTCAAATACCCGCAAACTTTGAGTGAATCCACGACCTCACTGATGCAGAAGCACGTCAATTGATAACAGAATTTAAGAGGGGAAACCTTAGCACAACGACAAACATAATGAGTGATAATTTGTCCTAAAATGTATAAGATACTAAGGAACTCCGAGGAGTAACTATTTCGCCGTCAGCAATGAGCTAAAATTTCACTTATTTTACACAAAATAATATTAAAGATTCCCGAAGATATTGCCTCCCTGAATACGTACTAAGACTAAATCTCTTTGAAGTGAGCAGCAATAAAACGATCAGTTCTAAGCTCAAGTAATAAGATACAAATCCAGAATTTGGTTAAACCTTCAAAACATTCGTGTACCCTAGGCAGCAATGGTGCAGGAACACGCGTGATTATTTATGAAACGTTCTCACTTAAAATTACGTAATCGTCAAATGCGTAACACTGCCGGTAGAAGCCGCCAAGAATGATTGAAGAAGGTGCTTTAGTGCTCGCACCTTCTTCAATCATTCGGTTGCTCGAATACACTGAAATAAAGATAAAACGGTTGCTCGAATACACTGAAATAAAGATAAAAAACCATCAATTAACTTAAGGCTCCTGAAAGGTAGGTCTGGATCTCATCTTTTTTAAGACACACTCAAGTTCCCAGCAAGGTTTTCAGATGTAAGATAACACCGCTGGTAATCCGCATGACATCAACCCAAATCCCTCACAGGCACGCTAACCCGAGCGAAGGACGAAAATGAGACTAGTCACTTAACGTTTCAAAACGCCAGTGAGTGGCAACGAACCCCATCGAAAAAGGAACATAGAGAGAAATAGTGAAATCGTTCTAGACGAATTGCGCATGAGGGTACGAACCGAACACAGACCTGGATCACTTCAGGTCATGAGCAGTGATGAAGATATTGACAAAACCTCTTCGCGAAGCAGATTCTACAGCAGGCGAAGGTTGAATGACCGACAACAGCAGGCAAGGACGCGCACAGGAACACCAAAAACCAAATGCAGAAGATAAGCCAGGTTGCGAGGCGGGTTTCTGCTGTGACATGTGTTGATACGCTACACTCCGGTTCTCAATGCTCAATAGGATTGTTGGATTGCCGGGTATGTCAAACATCGGCGCCGTTCGAGGTCGTTGAAGTCAATAATGCGAGAGGAATGCCAATGGACGAGGGACCTAGTCAAGCCAACGCATGGTACATACACAAGTGGCGAGTGAACCCACTTTAGAAAAGCTGGAATGTTTCATCGCAAGCCTTCACCCAGCAATTCATTAGACGACAAAGAACTTGATTCGTGGACTGACAGCTCTAGTGGTCCTGTTCCATGTGGCCTGCTTGCAGTGCTCAAATGGCGCACTTAGGGTGAGTATCAAAACATTGAGGGTAACAAATGCGCTTTCAGTGGAACAGAAGATTGCTACAGCCGTGTGGACATTAACGAAATTTATTTGCATCAGTTTGCAGTGAGACATTCACACAGTACACTTCGTGTCATGCGCAAATCATGCCGTATACCCAGTATTGACATTCAGGATGTCCTGTTTTCCTGGTTCCTGACGTAGGGAGTAAATTAATAAGGTCCGAGCGACCATTGCATAAAGAGAGAAGGTTTGGACCAGTCAAAACAATCATTTCTCGACGATTTTCGCTTTGCTGGATTTTGGCCTATGACTTGGTGCTGCAGCGTGAGCTACATGGTCTGATTCCATATCATCGTCGCTACTATCATCTGGAGTATCTGTTAATTGGCTACTGATGTGAACTTGGCCTGCAGCAGCTCTCTCGGCAGCCGCTATAGCTTCGGGAGTGTTGAGATCGGCAATTCCCAAGGCCAAGTCCTGCGCATATAATTGAAAAATGGTTAGTACTTTAAAACTTCTAGAGCAGAAATTTCTCTGTACTTAATAACAAATCATTATTCAAAAGTAATCCACACGCTTCAATACATCATACAACTTCAATATTGTCTAAGACTTTCACCGGCTCAAAATTTTAGTGAAAAGAGACAAGGAGAAGGCAGTCAAATAGAAGTGAATGCTTGAGTAATATCAAAGACGATTGTACAGAGAAATAAAGATGTACCCATATAGAAAAACGTAATAATATAATTGAAGGGAGTAAGTAATTCACCATCAATATTTGAGGCTTGGTGTCATCTTCATCTACGACTTCAATATCGAATTCTTCACGTCCTTTCTCCTCAATGCCAGAGAAGAGCTTTTCATTAGCTTCTTGCATCACAGGAAGAAAGGCCTTCAGGCGACCAATCACTGCCATTACGAGGGAAACATTCAGAACTACCACTGTTGCAAGCTTGCCATCTTCGCCATCTGAACTTCTTACCCACAAATGCTTCTGATGCAATGCCTACAATACATCCGAGTATACAAAGAGGCAACATAATGCTTGAAATAATTGCAGCGAGAAATGGTCCTCATTTGGTAGGAGGCGAACAACTACCGCTGCTTTCTGGCACGCTTGTCGTGGGCATCCTAGGCTTGGCATCGCCAGATGATTGTTGAACAACGCGCAACCGGTTCTCTAAAGGATTACTCTCGCGCTCCAGCAGCAAGAGGTCTCTATTAGTTTGCACCTCAGAATGCTTCTCCATCCTCTAGTTCTCTGGTTTCTACTGCACTTTTAAAACCCTTCAAATACGGAGAAAACCACATGTAAGAGGAATTCAGCTGCCATTGCCTTCACAAAACAAACCCGAAATTTTTTCACCAATACCATAAAACTCAATAAACCTTACTCCACGATTCTGGCTACGCAACGCAGGACGAACAACACGCATCGATATGAGCTATGCAATCACCAACCAGACTAGCTCAAAGTGTAGAGTCAAATTGTAAATCGAAATGACTACGAATTTGAAAAAACGGGCAGGTGAGGTACGTTAATGTGATGGAGAAATCAAGAACCCTAATCCTACCAATCTCTTTGAACTTTGTGCCAGGTATTCAGCTCGACTATACTGTGCATTTCACAGCCACTCTGCAGATCTTCAGAAAGTTTCCTACCGTTGCTAAAGCACACTCTAACACTTCGCATACATCCAATTCAAAGTACTTACGCTGATCGCGAAGTAGCGAAGTTTCTCAGCGTTCATCTAAACGAATAACCAAGCCGAGTCCTCGTGAAGCATCAAAACCAAACTGAGTACAGGCCGAGAGATGAACGATTGGAAATCCACAATGCATTAAACCCTAAATCCTAAAGCCCCCAGCCCTCAACTTCTAAACTCAACCACGGGAGGAGATAGAAACTTTTGATCGTGAAGAAATTTCTACCTGCAACAGAAATTCTGAAGCGACGCTGAAGAGTTTCAAAGTCCACGATTAGAGGCAATTAGGTAGCAGCTGAAGAATTGGCGAAGTTCTCTGCGCATCCTGAAAGAAGGGCTGTGACAAGCTTTGAGGCCCACGGCCCTGCGTGTGCGTGAACGGTTATAGGGATAGTGACAAGCTTAGAGGGCGACGGCCTTGGGGAGTGTATACACGGTGACAAGGGCCGTTGCTCCTTCCTCCACCGACAGTATTCTTTACTAACGACACGTCATCTGTGCCATGTAAGCATTGCGATAAGAAGATTGGTTGGTGTTTGGGTGCTTGCACGGTGATAGGTATCCACATTATCGGGATTAGAGATGGATGCATAAGTTGCTTTTAGCCAATTGGTATCAAATGTGTTGAAAGCATTAAATGTTGTTAGTGCTCTCTATAATATTTATTCTAATTTACAATAAATATTGTGGCTATAGTGTTTGGAATGTAGTGGAGAAAAACTGCTTATCTTCTCCCCCTTCTTTTTGTATAAAAGAAACAACCACATCAATACAGAGATAAGAAGAAGCTCCCTCTCTTTCTATATATTTTCTTGTATGTGTGTGTGCACATTACTTATAGCTATTCTTGTGTCTCTTCAAACATTTCCAATATGTTTTCAGCATGACTATTTCTATGTACTAGTCTTGGTTCTTAAAAATTTGTGAGCTCCTTGCCTTTCACCTTCTCCTTGTTTTTTATTTTATTTTATTTTATGTTTCTTCTACTTTGACATGCTTGTTGCTGTATCGCTCTATATCTTGGTATTGTATTGTGCCCTGACAAGTGTTGCTTCCTACTTCAAGACCTTGCCACCAAGTTGTCATGCCTTGCCATCTACTATTGTTGTCTGTTATTACTACTGCCATTTGTCGCTATTGCTGTAGTCCACCGTAGGTCCTTATTTTTGTGAAAAAAATAAAAATAAAAAAATAAAATTTCTCCAAATTCTTAATATTTTTTATTTCAATTTCAACTTTATTATTTTATTTGGCTTTATATTTCAAGGTATATTTTATTCAACTTTTCATACTCGATCTTGTATATTTTTCATAGATTTATTTAAAATAAGTGCTTTAACATCCTCAAGTACTTCTACTAAGGTTCCAACTATAATCACTACATCCCAACATTTTCAAGCTCTTCTACTTCCACCATTGGTTGCTAATAGAAACCAATGATAATTATCTATCATAGGCAAAAATAACAAAAGCAAATTTATTTGCAAAAAAATTCTTGGATATAATTTTGTTTGAAGAATCTCCTACTATAAGTACATCTATTCTTCTTGCTATATGTTGATAAGCACTTCTTCTCTTTTGTTGTTATCTTATACTTGCATTGCAACATCAATATTTGGAAATAGAGAATTCAGCCAAGCTTTGGAAAAATCTTAAATCTAGGTTTAATCATCAAAAGATCATTTTTTTTTTTTTTTTTTTTTTTTTTTTTTTTTTCATATATTGTCATAATTGGACACAGTTCTATGTCTTGGATTTTTCAGATTTAAATGCTTTCAATAGTGAAAAATATCATATTATCTCAAAACTTCAATTATATGGATAAAGCGTCTCTACAAAAGAAATGATTGATAAAACTCTCTCCATATTTCTTCCCACATTTGCTTTGCTTATACAACAATATAGGAACATGAAATTTCAGAGTTATTTTGATTTCATGTCTTATCTACTTCTTGTAGAGAAATAAAATGAGCTACTCTTGCATAATGCAAAAGCTTATTTTGTTGAAACCTTAGTTCCAAAATCTCATGCACTTAATATTTCAACGTTTAAGAAAAAATTATATAAATATGAAAAAGGTACTTATAAGTACCAAGGCAATCATGGTCATGATCATTTTTGCTCTTATAAAAAGAATAAATATTCTACTACTAATTACAATAGAAAAGAAAAATTAAAGATATGTTCTTACCATAAATGTGGAATGATTGGACATTTAGCACATGTATGTTGTACTTCAAAATACTCCGTTAAAATGTTCCAAGAAAATAAGAAACTTTGAGTTGAGGCTCATAAAGTTTATACCATAGATACATCCATAGACTTAATTGGTATTGATGATTTAGAAGCTTATATGAATGAAAAAACCTCTAATGATGAGTCAAATGATGCACTCATTGATTCTGCAGTAACACATACTATCTTAGGAGATAAACTATTTTTTACTAAAAAATCTTCAACTTGACAAACTAAAAATTTGATGACCATAGCTAGAGCAAATACATAGGTAAAATTGCCTATGGACTCTATCATAAAATATAAACATGTAATGTTTTCACTTTCAATATCTCAGAGTTTGATCAGCTATTGAGATATGTGTGCCAATGGTTATCACTTCTTAATTGCTATTATAGATAGGTGAGAGATTTTGGTTCTTTCACAGAACCATAAAATTATTGAAAAAACCTTTGTTGTAAGAAATGGTTTATATCAAATTACAATCTAATCTCCTAGTATATTTAATTTTGTATCATTTATCACAGAGAGTCACATTTCTCTCTAGCATAGATGATTACGACATGTAGGATCTACATTATTTTTGAAGATAATTCCATGTATAACTGGGTATAATTTAAGACTTGTAGATACAAATTCTATGAAATTATGTTATAAATGTATGTAAGGTAAGATGATTGCTTGGCCTTCAATTTAAAAACTTCTACGATGTCATAGTAGAGGAAATTTGCTTTAAAAAAGTGATAGGCTTCTGGTTGTTACTAAATGCTCAACTGAGCCTCTAGATAAACGAAACACCAAGTCTATATATAAAATTATCCCTATAGGAGCAATTAAATCAATACATAAGCCCTAAGTATCAAAGATCACCAAAAATGTGATAAAAATATTATAAAAAACTTGTATATCTTTAAGGTAAATTCTTCTCAAACTTCAATAGCTTATATCTCACGATTGGACCATCCAATCAAATCCAAATTTTATATAAAGTATTGATGTACTTTTAACAATTATTACAATAAATTTCAACTATAAATTCATTACAGAACTTGAGATATTACCAAAACTCTAATAGTAGCTTTAAATCGTTGCTTGCATATACTCATGTATAATTTCTTCATATCTCATAAATTAAGCATTTAAATACCATAAAATTTTGATATATAGCTTTTTAACTCAATAAGACACACTTATAGAAATGTTTAGCAAAAAATTCATCCGGATATTCAAGCTATGGCTTCAACCATTACTATCAACAAAATGACTTACTTATTGCCTCTAAATTACATGTGTTGTCTTCAATGCTCTATAATTTCTTCAAACAAACTCCAAAGGTAGAAATTCTTTCATAAAAGATGTAGATCTTGAAATTATCCTTGCGACATCTTTTTATATCAAAAATCTATTATAAAACTCTTCATATCTTCAAAACAACAAAAATATATCTTAAAAAGACATCTTAACTTCAAATGGCTATAACTTCATTATTCTAATTCCAAATCCTCTAAAATTTGTACAAAAATTATATTCTAAATCCTAAACCTTACAATTCTTTCTTTTGATTCTCAAATGCCCCTTTTAAAGTCACCAAAATCCTTGTTATGGTCATGGATAGCATGTTGAATGCCCATTGGATATGGCCTTCGACCAATAAGAATAAAGATCTTTACCTTTTGCCTTCATCCGACCATGCCTTGATTTTATCCCTCCCTATAAGCCTCTTAGTAGTTTAAATTTTTATCTTTAGGCTTCCACCTTCTCTTAAAGCTTTATACTAAACATCTAAAACTTATAAAATTTAAATATTATAATAAAAATAGATAAAATTTTAAATAAAGTTTCTTATATCTACTCTCTTTAAATTAATTTATTAACCATTTTAACACATATCAAGTTTTATAAACATAAAATATGTTTTATTTAATTTTTTACATATTATAAGAATTTATAGTATGAAAATAAGATTTATCACCAATGCTTGAAAAGTTGCATGGAGATATTTGTGATCCTATTAACTCAATATCTAAACCATTTTATTATTTTTTTGTCTTTATTAATGCATTATGCAAATAATTACATGTTTTATTATTATCAACTCAAAACATGGTGTTTTCTAATCTTATATCTATATTTATTTATTTTTGGATATAATTTTTTAATTATTATATCAAAACATTATATATGGGCAATACAAAAGAATTTGTATCAAAGTCTTTTGAAGAGTATTGTATTATAACAAGGATTGAATTGATATATTGTGTTCCATATGAACATGCTCAAAATGGATTTACAAAGTTATTTATAAAGCATATATAACTCATTACCTAGCCAATCTTTATTTAGAAAAATTTACTTGCATCTATGTGGAATCATAGAGTTTTGCATGTTGTAGCATAAATATGCCTCTGTCCTTCTTTTCTTAAAATTATTATACCACAAGAGCTCATTTCAAGTCATATTTCTAATATATTTTACTTAAGGATATTTAGTTGTTGTATTTGGATTTCAATACTAGAGTCTCAATGGCATATCATTGGAGCTTATAAACAAGAAGGTATATATGTTGGTTTTGATTCACCTAGAATTATTTGTATTATTGATCCATCAAGTGGCACATTAGTACATGTATATTTTTAAAATTGTTGTTTTCAACCACATAAGAAGAAAGCTATAACATTTGATGATTCTAGTGATATTTCAGTAGAAGTTCCTATTAAACCTATCGAACCATTAATTAATGATGATATGTCCATGCAAATTATATCTTCACCTCATGTAATAGAAAATCTTAAAATTAGAAAGAATAAAATCAAGTTGAGTGCAAAAATTATTTATTCCATATTGTGCTACAAAAAACATTTAGAATAGACCATCTATTATAATAAATCAATTATTTATTGTAAAAGCTCTTTTTTACAACAAAGATGATCATGAACTTCAAACCATTGAGAAAGCAATGTATTTCTCTAATTAA